TGGCTTGTCTTGCACATGGCCCCAGTGTCCTCAACAAACAGAGAGCTCAACAAACAGTGAGCTGCCTTAATTCTGGAGGAATGTCAGAGGATAAGAGCTGGAACATGACAGTTTCTGCCCCAGCATGTCACACTGTCCAAGGAGGGATCCTACTGGTCTCAGAAACCCTGGAGGCCTGATGTCAAGACTCTCCTTTACATCACTCATCCTGTTTACTTATCCTATCCCTAGCTCCTGGATCAGTCTTGCCACACAGTAGGTGTTTAATAAATAGCTTTAGGTACCTGCTTTATTCTTTTAGGTGTGTGAGTGCATGCTAAGTCTCTTTAGTCATGTCCAACTCTTTGTGACCCTATGGACTGTATCCCGCCAGGCTCCTCTGTTCATGGGATTCTCCAGGCAAGAATACTGGAGTGGGTCACCATTTCTTCCTCCAAGGGATCTACTTGACCCAGAGATCAAACCTGCATCTCATATGTCTCCTGCATTGACAGGTGGGTTCTTTAACACCAGTGCCACCTGGGAAGCTCTTTTATTCTTTCGGGCCTCTCCATGTAAATGGAGTACATAGCTACCAGCAGTCATGCGTCGTGTCCTTATAACTCCTTCACCAGAAAGGAAAGTGCGGTTTTCCCCTTTCTAACTCCAGAAAAAAACAAAAGAAAACAAAAACAAAAAAGAACAACAAAAATATCCTCAAGGAAGAAAGCCAGTTGGCCTGACATGGGCTTGAAGTTTATCTCTGGGCCAAACCCTTTAGACACAGATATAGCATACTATTATTGGCTAGATTTGAATGAGATGTCCATTCCTGAGTTATGGAGGTGGATATATTATGGGAAGATGGAGTGACAATGAAATTTTCACTATATTCAGACTATGGATACTCGCTGGAGTGTATCTAAATTGTGAATCCCTTTTGTCTCATTTGTCTTGATAGAAAAATGCTTGAAGACCAGCACTATCTCAGCAGAGCCATTTTAGTACTGCTCTTATACCTGCTGCAGATTTAATGCTTGATGCTTTGACTATTTGACAGAGATACTGTAGATCATTTAATAATTTATATTTCACACAGTTATAAATTTGCATCATATGTCTCTGAGGTTTGTCTGGGAATGAATCATCGAGTCCAACAAATTGAATCTCTCCTTAGATGCTGTCTCATCATCCTCACTAGAGTCAATGGCTGGGTGCCTTAACTCAGCATAATGTATTCAGTGTTCATCCATGTTGTAGCATGCATCAGTATTTTATAAAATGCCAAATAATATTCCATAGCCTGTAATACCATGTTTTATTTATCCATTTATTGGATGATGTACCCTTGGATCCCCTGCCTCCAATTCATTTTTTCCTTTTATAAATAGTGCCACTATGACATTCATATGTAAGTTTTCATGTGTACATGTGCTTCATTTATCTACCTAGGAGTAGAATTGCTGGATTATGTGGTAACTTTGTGGCTGTACCACTTTACGTTCCCACTAGCAATGTATGAGAGTTCCGATTTCTCTACATCCTCTCCAACACTTGTTATTATTGTCTTTTTGTTATAGTACTGAACATTTAAGATCAGAAAACACATGCAGATATAGACCTTAATACACCTTCTCTGTGTTTGTAAGCTCCATGCCTGGCCTTGTGGTCATGTAGCTGGAAGGCATTCACTAAACATTTCCTCAGTGAATGGAAAACTTTTTATTTGTATGTTGCTTTAGGCTTTAGAAAGTGCATTCACAAATTATGAGACTCACAATAAACCTATAGGAAATATAGTGAAGTAGCTCAGTCATGTCCGACTCTTTGTAACCCTGTGGACTGTAGCCTACCAAGCTCCTCCCTCCATGGGATTCTCCAGGCAAGAATGCTGGAGTGGATTACCATTTCCTTCTCCAGGGGATCTTCCCGACCCAGGGATCACGGTTTCCCATTTTAGGCCTGAGATGGGCTAGGTTAGAAAGGTTAAGCAATAAGTGAAGCATGTAAAGCTCTGATCTCCTGGCCTCATGTTGAGTCTTCTCTGTACAATTCAATGGTGGATTTTAACATCTCTTCTAAATATCATATTAATGTTCAAAATAGAATGCTAAGAAGTTTCAAAAGATATTAGTTAAAAGCAAAAAAGACAGCAGAATCTGAAGGGACTGAGTGTATTTGACAGTTTGGAGATGCTAATTATGGTTCTGAGATCATTGTGGGGACTGGAGGGAATAGTCAGGGGAAGCCTGATAAGGGAAGTCACTAGGCTTCCAACTTCAGCAAGAGAGTTAAGAGGACTGTAAATCAGGTGAAGTTTGGTTATGTAGATTGCGTTATCTGAGAAAGATTTAACACCAGATAGTAGGTAACTGTTACAAATTTCAGCTCTGTTTTCATTTTTTGCAACAGAAAATTTTATACATGTGTGAAATATCAGAAAAGATAGTATAATAAATCCTCATAATGCCCATTGATAGAAAATGATCAACATTCTGCCATTGTTATAAGTTGACTTATAAAAAAATATTTGAATACATTAAGGCTTTCTTTAATATCATTTCCCCTCCAGCTTTATTGAGGTATAAATGACAATTAAAAATGTAACTATTTAAGATACAACCTAATGACTTGATACACATATATGCTCAGTTACTAAGTCACGGCCGACTCTTTGTGACCCCATGGACTACAGAAAATACTCACCACAGCCAAGGCAATCAACAAAGAAGTCACTTCACACCTTAACCATTTTCCTTTTGTGTTTTTAATGTTGAGAACTTCCAAGATCTCTTCTCATAGAAAATTGAAATTTCACAGTACATAATTGTCGACTGGAGCCACATTTCTGTATACTAGTTCTCCAGAACTTACCCGTCTATTGTAACTGAAGCCAAAAGTCACTAAAAAGGGAAAATATCAAAGAATAGCAACATGATCTTGTAATAAGCTCCACAAATTTTGATCTTTTTTCATTTAGGGTGGAGGGGAAGAAAATTGCTGAGCTGGTAAGATGGCCACACAGATAGCTACATACTCAACGGGTGGGAGCCCAACATTTTGTTCATTCAGTCCTACAGTCATTCATTCTTTCAAACAGCACATTCTAGGCAGTTTTGATGCACACTGTCCATCCACCAGTGAGATACTCATGCTGGACTTGGGCTTGAGTCCAAATCAGGATTCGTCATTTACTGATTCAAAGACCCTGGACAAGTGCTGTCCTTGAGCCTCATCTTTCTCATCCATAAAACAGGGATAATACCTTGCTGATTAGGGTGTTTTTAGAGTTAAAGGTGAGGGAAATTCCCCAGAAATATGCATGACCTGTGTTCTGTAACATATGTCACTGTTATTTATCTAGGCTCTGAGCTCATGATGAAAGAAATCATGAGACAGTCTCTCTCCCTTCAGATTTCTGCTTCCCAGTCTAAAAGGGCAGCAACAAGCTCCTAGAGGTTCCCTGCACAATGCAGCATGTAAGATGCCAAAAAGCTGTCCCCATTAACACCATGCATTCATCTTCCAAAATCATCTGAGTTCCTCTAATTTTCTGTTACTTTTCATTAGGTCTTGCAACTCTACAAACACAATCTGTGCTAAACCTTGTTGTTGTCAGAGGTCAGAAAAACTGTTGGTGTTTGGAGCAAAGAAACGTTTATTGCAAGAGTCAAGCCAGGAGTTCATGCTAAAAAAAAAAAAAGCAAACTCCCTGATGGATTTCAGGGGAGAGTTTTTAAGGGGAAGGTAAGGGAGAAAGTGCAGTGTAGGTGATCACCTTCAGCATTATTCTCTGATTGGTTGATGATGAGGTAACAGGGTCGTGTCACGGGGTTTAACATCTTCAGTCCTCAGGCTCCAGCTGGTGTGGGGGCTCCCTGCTCATGGTCATCATGGAAGAAGTTAACTACTTCCATCTAGTGAGGATTTTAGTATCTGCAGAACAACTCAGGAATGTGCATCAGACACTGTCATCTATATGATCTAAATCCTTCAGGGAAGGACTAAAGATTTTGTGATTGCTATATGACTGATCAATTGTTTAATATTTTGTTGTTGTTACTACACATTCACATTCTTTCAATCATTAATTCTTGAGCCAGCCTTCTGTGGCTCAAAGGACGCCTGGGAGATTAAAGCTTTTCTCCAAGCAAGAGGGGCTTCCCAGGTGATTCAGTGGTAAAGAATCCACCTGCCAATGCAAGGAGAAGCAGGATGCGGGCTAGATCCATGGTTCAGGAAGATCCCCTGGAGGAGGAAATGGCAGCCCATTCCAGTATTCTTGCCTAGATAATCCCATGGATAGAGGTCTGGTGGGTTACAGTCCATGGAGTCTCTAAGAGTCGGACAGGACTGAATGAGCACTGCATGCACAAACAAGAGGCAAGCAGAGGGCATGGGGTGGGGTGGGATCTATCCCAGGAAGGTCCCACAGGGTCCTTGCTCCATTACAGCTGGACACCCTCCTGTTGCACCCTTGTTTGGTCCTGATGAGGGCAGAGTGCCCAGAGTGTGGGCTGCTATCTCCTTCTGCCAGCTTTCTCCTGGTCTTCACCACAGCTGAGGGAGCGTTTCTGATGCAGCCTGCCCCTCCCTCTCCATCTTTCTGGGTGGGGGCCTGGGCTCAGAGCGCGCCCTTTGGTAGGGTTTGCAGCCCGGTGCCCAAACGAAGGCACCTTCTGTCCCTTGTCTTGTGTGTGCAGTTTCCCTAACTGGCTCCATCAAGTGAGCCTGCAATCTCGCCTCACACCTGCAGCCTCGCATCACACCTGCGCTGCCCCAGGCAGAGCCCGCCTGGCTGCCCGTTGGTCCTCCTGCCCCCACCGCTCCCGACTCCAGGCCCAGAGGCAGAGGCCCAGAGCGGGCGGACCCCTGTGCTCCACTCCCAGAGCCGGTGGTTCTGTCTCCCTGAGAGAGGCCCGCGCTGTGTCTGAGCCTCCAGCCTCCCCGCCGGCGCCTCCAGGAGCAGCTCAATCACCGGAGCAGCGCGACCCCGGCCCGCAGCCGCCCCCGCCAGCAAGATGCGGAAGCCCAACCCGCTGCAGGACGCGAACTTCTGCTCGCGCCTGTTCTTCTGGTGAGAGCCCGCCTGGGCTGTGACACCCCCGCCGTCGCGGGGCGGGTGCCTGATGCCGCCGCTGGCGCTTTTGGGGGCCGAGGAGGCGGCTGGTCGGGGCGAGGGAGCGCTTTCCGCTGCGCTCTGGGCACCTGGCTTCTTGTAGCCCGTGGGGCCACGTGGTCCTTTGGTGTCTGGCGAGGGGAACAGAGCCCGGGAGAGGGAACTCGTGGTGGGGCTCCCTGCCTTGTATCTCGCTGTCTCGCCGCCAAATTCCTTAGGCCCTAGTAGGACCGCAAGCGGATGAAGCAGGAGGGGCAGCGGGTGAAGCAGGAGGCAGGGAAGTTGATGAACCCAGGCTGCCCAAGGGGAGTCTCCCGCCAAGGGGGAGAAGGACTGGACCACCCCCCGCCCCACCCCACCCCCACACATCCCCAGTACCACACACCCACACTCAGTCCTTAGCCGGCTTCCCCAGTACTGCTCAGGAATTCGCAGTTCTGAGCTAAAGCGGCACCCTATTTTTCCCTTAAGCAAGCAGTTTTGAACAGCTTCCTTTATCCAATTAGTGCCCTGCACTGTTGTCATCGTCCAAGAAGGTCCCTACTTTCCCCATATTCCTTAGGTGACAGCTGAGTTCTGCCTGCACCGGGATCCGTCGTCACTGCCTGTGACGATATCTCTCTCCCCCTCCGTCTAGCCCTGTACATCTCTCACTGCATTTCCTGGTATCTGTGACAAGTTTCATGTGTGTAAAAACACTTGTTTTTAATGTGTTGAATGGGGATACTATTCTTGAACACGTTTTGCTTTTGCCTGCTACACACAGCCAGGACTGGACGAGCCCCTTTCTCTATTGTGGCTATCTCCACTTCCACATTTGAGGAACAAACCATGGGGATGTGGTCCCTGAAACCTGTGGGGTCTTATGCAGATCTTTAGCCTTCAGAGAAGCAGTGCATGGTCTTGCCCAGGAATCCTTTGGTCCTGAAACCACTGAAGGGTCTCTGAGATGAGAGGAAACACCAATGAAATATGCTTCAGAGAGCTGAAGCTCTTACCTGAAGTCTTCATCTAATAGCTGGGACCTACTAACTAGGCAGGTCTGAACCTCTGGATTTTAATCACACTTGGGTGATTATTAGGTCTTTTGTTTCTGGAACCTAATCCATTCATCTTTTCTGCAAAGTCTGATACTTCTTTTATGGGACAGCCTGAGGGATCCCCAGGGAACGGGAGCTCGATGCTTGTTCTGACGGTGGTGTGTTAAGTGTGTAGTTACATCTCGGCCATTTGGTGGCCCTTAAGGAAAGAGGGGCTTAGAAGAAGGAATGTGGGTGTGGTTACTCTAAATAATACTGAAACAGTCAAACATCTGCTTATGGCAGGGCAGGCAACTCTCCAGGCACCTTCTGTCTGTGGATTTTCAAAATGTGTGTGTGGAAATGGGAAGATAAGGATTTCTCATTGATTTTTGGTAGACACGCATTTCCAATTTTCCTGTTGGAGGGAGAGAAGCTATTACCTCTTATTTCACACTTGAAGTTTCTGAAGCAGAGAGGTTGAGTGAGTTGTCTATCAGCACACAGCTAGAAAGTGAGAGTTGGATCCCAAACCAGGCAGTCTGGCTCCCTGTGTATGTAACTGCTGTATAGAGTAGGTCCTATTTGTGTACTTGTTTGTAAATGCCCAGAGAAGCCGATTCCAAACACACCTTTGGTCTTATTGGTAGGAGTTTCTCAAAGGAAGTTCTTAAATTTCTTTCTGTTGGAGATGATACATGAGAAACATCTCTATAATCAAGCTTTACGGCAACTATTCTCAGAGTATAGCTTTCAGACCTGCTCATCCTCATCACCTGAGAATTTGTTAGAAATGCAAATCCTCCCGCACTCTTTCTAGACCAATTGTGTAAAGTTAGAAACTCTGGGGATGGGGTTAAACAAGCTCCAGGTGATTCTGATGGAAGGTTGAGACTGGTTTCTGCTTTCAGCCACCCCTCGCACTAGGATTACTACTTCAATGTTAACTTTTAAAAGGGGTCCAGACTTTGTGAAGTTAGTGGTTGACCACAATTTTCAGCCTGTACATAAAGTCTGAGGTACCCTTGTGATTTCTTTGTGTTCCCCACTCGCTGCCCTGGGGAAAGCTGACATGAGCCCAGGCAGGAAGTGCTGCCCAGAGACAAAGTCCGCCTTGTAGAGAAAAACTGAATTTTCTCTTCTCATTGGGTATTTGCTTTTCTTCTAGTATTTCACCTGCCTTCTAAACTTGTAAATGAAGCCAGTAATTAGCTTATTGTCTTTATACAAATGATCTTACTGGAGTTTTAGTGTTTTCACAGCACAGATGGGACTTAGGGTCAAAGAGAAGGCATGCATTATGGCTATATGTAATTATTGTGGGTTTTAGAAGATAATATATGCTTTTCTACTTCTGTAATAAAATTAAAACTATAGAAGAAGAAGAAATGAATAAAAGTTTATTTCTATTAGCCACATACAGTTACTGATAATTTGGCTGTTTCTTAGAATAACTGGTGAAAGCCGAATTCTGTTCCATCAGATTTGCCCACTTAAAAACTGCTTGTGTGCTTATTTCATTGCTGTTTGCAAGTACCTGAATTACATTTTTTATAGGCCTGAGGTTAAAAAAAAAAAATGGAAAAGGCAATGGCAACCCACTCCAGTACTCTTGCCTGGAAAATCCCATGAATGGAGGAGCCTGGTAGCTGCAGTCCATGGGGTTGCTAAAGAGTCAGACATGACTGAGTGACTTCACTTTCACTTTTCACTTTCATGCATTGGTGAAGGAAATGGCAACCCACTCCAGTATTCTTGCCTGGAGAATCCCAGGGACGGGGGAGCCTGGTGGGCTGCCGTCTATGGAGTCGCACAGAGTTGGACACGACTGAAGTGACTTAGCAGCAGCAGAGGTTAAAAATATCAAACATTTATTTATTTTTGTCCAAGCTGGGTCATCATTGCTGCTCTTGTGCTTTTCCCTAGCTGTGTGGTGACTGGTGGCTACTCTATAGTTGTGGTGTATGGGCTTCTCATTGAGATGGCTTCTCTTCTTATGGAGCACAGACTCCAGGGCGAGGGGCTTCAATAGTTTTGGCTCATGGGCTTAGTTGCTCCATGCCACGTGGAATCTTCCTGGACCAGGAATCAAACCTGTGTCCCCTGCATTAGCAGATGAATTCTTAACTACTGGCCCATCAAGGAAATCCAATATCAGTTTTAATAAGAATCTATTTGATTTTTAGAGTTAGAACTTTATGTCTATTGACTATTTGAATATCTCTTCATAGACATTTTTTCCCATGAGGCATTTTATATTTGAATAATTTGCAATAGTGCATATAATACTTTTTCAGATTTTCATTTGTTCTTTTGAGGTTTTAAATTAGATATAATTATTACATTGAACTTTTCTTTTTGGTTTCTCCTATTGCTTTCATAATGTCTTTTTAAAATCCTAAGCATCCTCTAAATCTCTGTAAGCATTCTATTTTGGCCCTCTTTCCTTATTTGATTTCTGGCAATAAAAACAGCTAGAATTTTTTTTTTTTTGTATTTTGTATAAGATAGATCACATATTTTCAAACAGCCCATATTCCTATCATGGTTTATTGAATGAGTCTTCCTTTTTCCCATTATTGGAATTCAGTGGCACAATTTTGAACCATGTCCAGTCTGCTGAAACTCTCCCTGGCAATGTCCCTGCTGTCCTCACTGCAGCCCTGGGGGTGTGCTTTGCATCCCAGAAGCCAACAGGTTGGGGTTAGGGCAGAACCTGTCACCAGAGATGAGAGTGGAGCAGGTCTTGGACCAGATGCATTTGGCCCATCCGGGAATGGTTACATCCTCGCTCCACTGACACTGGCCGTATCTCAGTCAGTGAACTGTCCCCTTGCAAAGGGAATGTGGATGTGGAAACTGCCATTAATGTCAAGTCAGACTCTCCAGAGACTCTTGTCAGAGAACCTGATGACATGAGGGGGGGATATGAACTGGCCTAATGCTGAGATGGTTTACGGAGGTTGGTGCTGTTAGGCCCTCAGTAACTAATGATTGTGAATACATAGAAATGTTTAATTTCAAACTAGGATTCTTTGCACCATTTTCAGAATACCACTTGTTCCTCATTAACAGTGAGAAATGCACATGTTGAAGATGGAGGCTGGGTGAGCTCTGCAAGGCTCTTTTTCTGTCCGTGACCTGTTTCCTATAAGAATTTAGTTTGTTGAGTTTTGGTAATTTTATACAATAACTACAGTTTCAAGCAAGATGTAGAACATCCCAGAGGTGTGATGCATCCTTGTGGAAAACTGCCTAAAAAATTTATCTCTTGTAGTTTTTTCTTGATTTTTTTGGATCTTGATCATCCTACCTCATCATCCTGAGAGGTGTCAATTATTCAGATGTGTCAAGGAAATAAGTTGCCTGTGTCTTCCAGGGATCCCCCAATCATGTTAACCCCCTTCCTCTCTGTTGACATGAAACAAAGAGGGTATCAGATATTTCTCTGGCAAAGATAGGCTTATGGGATCAGCAGAGAATTGTAGTTTGAGGTTTACAACTGTGGAGAGCTACATGCAAGTCCTCAAAGGGCCAGGGAAAGAGATCACTATCATAGAGGGGAAAGGAAACTGGCAGGTCTGTTAAACAGAGTCCATGGCTTTTCACTGACTGAGTGTTTTCTAGGAAAGCAGCAGAGTCTTTATTCTTTCTGTTGGGCTCTGCCATTGTAACCGTGTCTGACAAAATTATCAGAGATTTTCTCCTGGGGCCCAGTGGGATTACTCAGGATCTCTGTTGTGGTGACAGCTGCTCCTTGTCTGGTGAGATGTTGTCCTGTTTAGAGTAACACTATCTTCTCAAGTGATCTCCTCAGCAGCCTTGGGAGGTGTTATCTCCACATGTTCTCAGTTTCTAGGGGCCAATACTGAGATATTATGTGGCTAGTTTGTGGTCATACAACCAGAGAGTGACAAAGTCTAGACTCTAACACAGGAAGATTTCCAACTGAGGCATATCATGAGCAATTTTTTTCTCATTACATTTTTTTAAATTGTGGAAAAATGCACACAACATAAAATTTATCATCTTGACCATATTTAAGCATATGGTTTAGCGTTGTTAAGGGCATTCACATAATTTTGCAAACAATTTCCAGAACTCTTTTCATCCTGCACTAGTGTATGTGGGGGTGGGGGAAGAGTGTCATCATCTGGGCACGTCCCAGTGCTAATTCCCTGAGTGTTTTCTGTGGGGAATGACTGTAGGTTAAATGGCCTAAAATGTTTCAAACCTGTTTAGTGGTAAAACTCACAGACCTATACTTTTGTTTTGAAAGGAAATTGAGACATATTAAGACATTGGAAGGACTGATGCTGAAGCTGAAACTCCAATACTTTGGCCACCTCATGCAAAGAGTTGGCTCATTGGGAAAGACCCTTATGCTGGGAGGGATTGGGGGCAGGAGGAGAAGGGGACGACAGAGGATGATATGGCTGGATAGCATCACCGACTCGATGGACATGGGTTTGAGTAAACTCCGGGAGTTGGTGATGGACAGGGAGGCCTGGCGTGCTGTGATTCATGGGATCGCAAAGAGTCGGACACAACTGAGCGACTGAACTGAAGACATATAAGGGTCACTGAGATGCTGACCTGGAGTGGAGAAGTGGAAAAGTGGAAGAGGGGGCAGAGTTGAGGCCCTGGGTCCTCAGTGCCACTGTTGGGATTAGGATCCAGTCTTCTGACTCCTGGATTGGGGTTCATTGGAGGTGCCAACCTACCAGAGTTTGTAAAAGCTGAAGCTCATTCTCTCTTATTGCTTCTTTAATGATTCATGGACATTCATACATTCAATAAATAATTCTTGAGCATCAACTCTGTACGCATACTGTCCTTGGAATAATGAAATAGAAGAAGTGTGATCTCTGCTTTCACTGGTTATTATTGTCTGACCTTGAAAATTTCCTTACCCTGGCAAGGTCAGGAAAATGGTGTTAATCTTTGGGCTATCTCTACATTTTATTATCATTTAAATAATGCCTAATGGATTTTTGAACAGGGTTTGAGGGATATCCTGTGTATAGTCAACTGTTTCTTTCCCTTTATAATAAGTAATTTACAGAGAGAGAATTTGAGATTATATGGATACTGTCTTCCACATCAAACTTTCACCCACTGGTTTTAACTTCCATTGATAATTTCTGATTCCATCACCCCCCCTTATATTTGTTTGCCTCTGTTTGCAAGAGCATTCCTTTCTCTCCTGTTTATGTAGCAGTACTGATTCATGGATCCTTTTATTATTTAATCTGTTGTGGTTCATTGCCATTTATTTGTTTGGATTCTCAATGTATCCCAGATTTGTCTAGCAAAAGCCATTCAACCTGGCTTCTCTGTTTTTCCTACACATCCTCATGGGTCTTTCAGGGCTTCCTTATTTTATGGTGCAAGTTGTCCCATCTTGGACTTTTTCTGCCTGTTGGTCTCAGCCTGTAGGCCATGAGGCTTTTGCCGGAAATTGGTGCTCTGCTCATCAGGGCTCATACTAGTTACGAGCAGTCCCCACAGAAATTCTCCTTTTGGAGCCAATGTTGTGGCTTGACTGGCTCTTGTGGTTCTTATGATCGTGAGACACATGTCAGCAACAACCATCAGGGGACTTTGAAATGATGAGGTGTATTAGTTACTCAGATGTCACGGAGGGTACCGGACATGCCTGGGGTGACACAGCGAAGTCCTGGATAGAAAGAGAGTGCATATGAGTAAGTCTAGACTTGGGGTTCTGCCTTTTGGGGCTTGAGCATGGGTGTCTAGGATTTTGAAAGTTCACTCTTTATTGGTGAATTTAAAATATAAGAGCAGGAAATAAAGTGTGAGAAGGGAGAAGCAAGCAGTCAGCAAGATGGTCTGTTATCAGGTTAACCAGAGCGTTCAACAAGTGGGAACACCAAGGGTGGGGTGGCCTGGCTCTTTATCTAGTTGTATAGCTGGCACATGTTCATTGGAGGTGGCTGTCTTTGACATGCATGTCTCCAAAGCTTAATGTCTGCAATTTATATTACAATCAAAAAAGCTAATTATCAGGTGCTTACATAAACTGCCCCACCCTTGGAAACAGCCATTTCTTCAATGAAGGGTCTTGGTTCCTTTTAGGGAAGAAAGGTATCAAAAATTTAAGATCTGGGTGAAGGGGGCCAAAAGGCACAAACTTCCAGTTATAAAATAAATAAGCTATGGGGATGTAATGTCTGGTGTGGCAACTATAGTTAATAATACTCTATGCATATTTGCAAGCTGCTAAGAGATTAGACCTTTAAATTTCTCACCACAAGAAAGGAAATGTAACTGTGTATGTTAAAAAAACAGAACCCCAAGATCTAAGGGCTGGAATGCTCTTTGCTACCAGTATGTCATTACTTCCAGGGCCTCTCATTGTATAGAATTAGGGTGTATACATATGTGTGTGTGTGTTTTTGTAAACACATATCTAATTATTTTTTAAATTAATTTATTTTAGGAGGATAATTACTTTACAATATTATAATGGCTTTTTGCCATACATCAACATGAATTGGCCACAGGTATACGTGTGTCCCCCCTATCCTGAACCCACCTCCCACTTCTCTTCCCACCCTATCCCTCTGGGTTGTCCCAGAGCACTGGCCTTTAGTGCCCTGTTTCATGCATCGAATATGCACTGGCCATCTATTTGACATATGGTAATATACATGTTTTAATGCTATTCTGTCAAATCATCCCACCCTTGCCTTTTACCACTGAGTTCAAAAGTCTGTTCTTTACATCTGTGTCTCCCTTGCTGCCCAGCATGTAGGATATTGGTACCATCTTTCTAAATTCCATATATATGTGTTAATATACAGGATTTGGCTTTCTGTTTCTGACTTACTTCACTCGGTATAATAGGCTCCAGGTTCATCTACCTCATTAGAACTGACTTAAATGTGTTCCTTTTTATAGCTGAATAATATTCCACTGTGTATATGTAGCACAACTTCCTTATCCATTCATCTGCTGATGGAGATCTAGGTTGCTTCCATGTCCTAGCTATTGTAAATAGTGTTGCAATTAGACTTAATTAGACAGATATGTGTGGTTTGTATATCTGTGACTCTCCATTTATCTTAATTTTTAACAGGTGGCTAAACCCCTTGTTTAAAATTGGTCACAAACGAAGATTAGAAGAAGATGACATGTACTCCGTGCTTCTGGAAGATCGCTCCCAGCACCTTGGAGAAGAGCTGCAAGGGTGAGCACAGGCAGCAGGGAGAAGCGGGGGAAGACTGAGAATTCCCACGTGGGGCTAAAGTTGTGTTGCGGTGAGCTTTGCCTTCCTCTGGGTTTTCCTGAGCCTCCTTCCCCTGACACGGCACTCACCTGCCTCAGGCTGACCCTGAGCTTAACACACTTTGGAGGCTGGGGAGCCTGTATTCTCTGTGCATTTGTGGAAGTGGAGAGAACCTGCAGCCATGACCCTGGAGGCTGAACTCTGTCCCTGGAGGCAGGGTCCCTGGAGGAGGGTGTCTGCCCTCCTGAGCTGCTCATGACCTTGTGAATCCAGCAAAGGCTTGGCAGGAACTTGTTTCCTGAAACTGAGACTTTTCCCTCAAGGCCTGTTTTTCTGGTGCTTCAGGGTATGCACCACTCATCTTTCATGCACCCAGTGAGCAATTAGCCAGCATTCATGGGGCAGCCACAGACACCCCATAGCAAAGGCTTATCCTCCACTCTGCCACCTCCCTGTTTTGTCTGGTGGACACGTTGTTCTTTTTATTTTATTTTTCAATTTATTTATTTTAGTTAGAGGCTAATTACTCTACAATATTGTAGTGGTTTTTTACTGTACTTTGTTTTTTATCACAGGTACTGGGATCAAGAAGTTTTGAGAGCTGAGAAAGGTGTGCGGGAGCCTTCTTTAACGAAAGCAATCATAAACTGTCACTGGAAATCCTGTTTAGTTTTGGGAATTTTTATACTTCTTGAGGTAAAAGCTTTTATATACTGTGCATTGATTTTTACTACATGCAGGTCAGTACCGAGATGGATGGGACCTGTGGGGAGAGAGGCCAGTAGTTTAAGATCAGAGGTTAAAATGTCTAGAAATCATGATGTAGCCCAGAAGTTGTGTTTATCTTTAGAATGTACACATGCTTAAAGGACTGGACCTCCAGGGATTAACTATTTTCCTTTTAACAGATTAAAACATAGTGTTGTGTAAAGAAAAGACATTTTATACCATATACCTAGTATGGTGTAAAAGGCATTTTATACCATATTAGGATATTATTGGTGCTCAGTAAATGACATAAATGCTGAAAGTGATCCTTGGCCAAAAGAATATCCTACAAACTCAAGAAATGTGGTTTGGAGGAAGTAAACTTGGACCAGAGCCTGGATAACATAAGACATTTTACAGGTGCTCAGCAAGTAAATGTTAAATTGCCCAATTCACATTTGATAAATGCTTTCCTAAGAAGGGATCATCATCTCTCCCCTTCCTGTGAAACAGAACCCATGGCCCTGCGTCGGGGCTGGAGCTACCAGAGCTCCCAAGAATACACCCTTCCCTGGGCTGCCTCCTTCCCTGTAGGCTCGGTCAACCAGGCCAGTGCTCCCTGTGATGAAGAGCTCCAGCTTCATCATTGAATTGCAGAGACTCCATGCACCATCCATGCTGGTTTCTGTCCCTGGATGTGGGGATGGTTTCCTGCTTGAAGGGGGATCTGGTAGCCTGGCATTGGCAGAAGGTGTAGGAGGGGATGTGCAGTAGAAAACCAGAGACAGAAAGCAGTGAGGTCAGTGACCTTCATGACCCTGAAGATCCTAGATCAAGATTCCCCCAGAGAGACAGTTGCAACCTAGGGACACACTGCCATCAGCCCACCTATACATCAGGAATACAACTTCAGACACAGAAGTGCATGCAGAACACCACCTGAGAGTAGACAGGAGTACCTGGTGAGTGGAAAAGAATATATAGACCCACGCAAAACTCGAGATCAAGCCCTGAGCCTTTGGAGTGGGTATACTGATTCCAAGACCCTAGACGACCAGAGGGAGTATCAAATAGTGAGAACTCACACAAAGGAAACCACTTGAATACAAGACCCAGCATCACCCAACCACCAGTAGCAGCAGTGTGCAGGATGCCTCATCTAAAAAACAAACATACAAACATACAAACCCAATCATCAGCAGACGGGATTACCACCTCACTCATCCTTGCCCATCAGAGGAAAAACAAACAAAAACTCAGCATGAATCTCACCCTATACAAAGGTTACACAAACCACTGGACCAAACTTAGGAGGGCAGAAAACAAAAGGAAGAAAGAATTCAAACCTGGGGAAAGGAAACCTCAAACACAATAAGTTAAAAAAAAAAAAAAATGAAAAGGCAGAGAAATACTACACACATGAAGGAACAAACTAGAAAAAACAGACGTCCAAACAAATGAAGAGGAAATAGGCAAACTCCCTGAAAAAGAATTTGGAATAAAAAACATAAAACATAAAAAAAAAGAATTCAGAATAATGATCGTAAAGATGATCAAAAACCTTGAAAACAAAATGGAGAAAATGCAAGAATCAATTAACAAAGACTTAGAAGAGTTGAAGAATAAACATACAGAGACAAACAACACAAATACTGAAATTAAAAATACCCTAGAAGGAATCAGTATCTGAAGTAGAAGAATGAACCTGTGAGCTGGAAGATAAAATAATGGAAATAAATTCTGAAGAGCAGAATAAAAAGAATGAGAAGAACTGAGGATGGTCTCAGAGACCTCTGGGATAATATCAAACACACCAACATTTGAACTATAGGGGTCCCAGAAGAAGAAGAGAAAAAGAAAGGATATGAAAAAATTTTTGAAGAGATTATAGTTGAAAATTTCCTGAACATGGAAAAGGAAACAGTCAATCAAGTCCAAGAGGCACAAAGAGTCCCATACAGGATAAATCCAAGCAGAAACATGCCAAAACACATATTACTCAAACTAACAAAGAGTAAACACAAAGAATATTAAAAGCAGCAAAGGAGAAGCAGCAAGTAACGTACAAGGGAAACCCCATACACTTAACAGCTGATCTTTCAGCAGAAACTCTGCAGGCCAGAAGGGAATGGCAGGATATATTTAAAGTACTGAAAGGGGAAAATCTACAGGCAAGATTACTGTACCCAGCAAGGATCTCATTCAAAACTGATGGAGAAATCAAAAGCTTTTCAGACAAGCAAAAGTTAAGAGAATTCAGTACCACCAAATCAGCTTTACAACAAATGTTAAAGGGACTTATATAGTCAAGAAATACAAGAGAAGAAAAAAGATCTACAAAATCTACCCCAAACAGTTAAGAAAGTGGAAATAGGAACATATATACCAATAATTACTTTAAATGTAAATGAATTAAATGGTCCAACCAAAAGACACAGACTGGCTGAATGGATACAAAAACGAGACCCATATATATGCTGTCTACAAGAAACCCACTTCAGCCCTAAAGACACATATAGACTAAAAGGGAGAGGATGGAAAAATATGTTCCATGCAAGTGAGAAGCAAAAGAAAGCTGAAGTAGCAATCCTCATATCAGACAAAATAGACCTTAAAGAAGATTACAAGAGATAAGGAAGGTTACTACATAATGATCAAGGGATCAATCCAAGAGGAAGACATAACAATTGTAAATATCTGTGTACCCAACATGGGATCACCTCAATACATACAAATGCTAACAGACATAATAGGAGAAGTTGACAGTAACACAATCATAGTAGGAGACTTTAATGCCCCACTCACATCAATGGACAGATCATCAAAACAGAAAATTAATAAGGAAACACAAGTCTTAAATGATACATTAGATAAGATGGATCTCATTGATATCTTAAGGACATGCCATCCAAATGCAGAAGAGTACACCTTCTTCTCAAGTGCACATGGAACATTCTCCAGGATAGACCACATCTCACATCACAAATCAAACCTAGGTAAATTTAAGAAAATTGAAATCATATCAAGCATTTTCTCTGACCACAATACTATGAGACTAGATGTCAATTATAAGAAAAAAAAAAAACTCTAAGAAACACAAATACATGGAGATTAAACAATACATTTCTAAATAACAAACATGTTACTAAAGAAATCAAAAGGGAAATAAAAATATTTCTAGAAACAAATGACAATGAAAGCACAACTCAAAACCTATGGGATGCAGCAAAAGCAGTTCCAAGAGGGAAGTTTATAGCAATATGATCCCATCTCAAGAAACAATAAAAACATCAAATAAACAACCTAACTTTACACCTAAAACAACTGGAAAAAGAAGAACAAGAAAATCCCCAAATTAGTAGAAGGAAAGAAATCATAAAGATCCGAGCAGAAATACATGAAAAAGAAATGAAAGAAAGAATAGTAAAGATTAATAAAATTAAAATCTGGTTGTTTGAGAAGATAAATAAAGTTGACAAACCTTTAGCCAGACTCATCAAGAAAAAAGCAAATCAACAAAATTAGAAATGAAAGAGGAGAGGTTACAACAGAGGATGAAGAGATACAAAGGGTTGTAAGAGACTATTATGAATAACTATATGGCAATAAGATGGATAACTTGGAATAAAAGGACAGATCCTTAGAAAAGTTCAATCTTCCAAGACTGAACCAGGAAAAAATACAAATTATGAACAACCCAATTACCAGCACTGAAATCGAAGCTGTGATCAAAAATCTCCCAAAAAGCAAAAGCCCAGGACTAGATGACTTCAGAAGAGAATTCTAACAACATTTAGAGAAGAGCTAATGCCTATCCTTCTAAAACTCTTTCAAAAAATTGCAGAGGAAGGAACAGTTACAAACACATTCTATGAGGCCACCAACACCCTGATACCAAATCCAGACAAAAACAGCACAAAAAGAAAACTACAGGCCAATATCATTGGTCAACATGGTTGCAAAAATCCTCAACAAAATCTTAGCAAACAGAATAAAGCAATACATCAAAAACCTCATACACTATGATCAAGTTGAATTTATTTCAGGAATGCAAGGATTCTTCAATATATGCAAATCAATCAATGTGATACACCATGTAAACAAATTGAAAGATAAAAACCATGTGATCATCTCAATAGATTCAGAAAAAGCCTTTGACAAAATTCAGCACCTATTTATGATTAAAACTCTTCAAAAAATGGGCATAGAAGGAACCTGCCTCAATATATTAAGGGCCATATATGATAAGAGTACAGCAAACATTATTCTCAATGGTGAAAAACTGAAAGCATTCTCCCTAAGATCAGGAAGAAGACAAGGGTGTCCACTTTCACCAAACTTTCTTTAGCTGGAGATGGTATTTAAGGTGGTGGCTTGGGCCTTCTTGGGGAGTTACTCAGATTTTCTCAGAGATGGTAGAATTGGGCAAGAAACAATTCAAGTATCTGTGGAAATGTAGTGGAGAAACTATACTGACGGGGAAGATTCCAACATCTAACCCTGTGAGAAGTTCCCCTAAGAAGCAAGAGGTGAGCCCGAATGTCAAGTGCTTTCAGAAGGTTAATTAACAAGGACTCCACCAAGAAATGTCTGCCTCAGAGACTCTGTGACTCTTGTAGAACTTTGAAATGATTGTTGTGGTATTATATTGGACTGTTTTAAAAATCTTTTATGGTTTCACAGTTATGAAGAATTCTTGTGAAAGAATAAGAACTATGTTCCCAGTTGTTTTGTGGAAAGGGTATTCACTGGGGTAAAGGTTGGTGTCAAAGATGAAGGCTTTATGGAAGCAATTTTTGATCTTGCTCCTACTATCCAGAAAGTTTTCATTTGGTTAGTTTCAAGCTTGCTAATGAACATTTTCTCAATTGTTTTATTTCTCACTTGTTGAGGATTAGGATCAAGAATGGACAGAGGAGAGACTTCCCTAGTGGTCAGTGGTTAAGAATTTTCCTGCCAGTACAGTGGACATGGGTTTGATCCCTGGTCCAAGAACTAAGATCCCACATGCCTCGGAACCCATCAGCTGCATCTACTGAGCCCACTTGATGCAACTACTGCAGCCTGCATGCTCTAGAACCCCTGCTCTGCAACAAGAGAAGCCAGTGAAACCAGGAGCACGGCTGCCACAACTAGAGAGGAGCCCTCACTCACCGCAACGAGAGAAGGCCCACACAGCAAGGAGGAGCCCATGTGTGTCAATGAAGACCCAGCAGAGTCAAAAATAAATAAATAAACAAGCAAGTAAATAAGATTTTAAAAAACAGCAGACAGAGGAGTGGAAGCTATGAGCCAGGATTGGTATTTGTTGTTCAGTCGCTCAGTCGTGTCGGTGTCTGCTACCCCATGAACTGCAGCACGCCAGGCTTCCCTGTCCTTCACCACTGGCATTACTCTTTAAATAATAATAATAATGATTTTGACTGCACTGGGTCTTCACTGCTGAGCAAGGACTTTTCTCTAGTTACAGTGTGCGGGCTTCTCACGCAGTGGCTTCTCTGGTTGCAGAGCACAGGCTCTAGGTGTGATGGCTTCAGTAGTAATCACCACGTGTGGCTCAGTAGTTGTGGAGCACAGGCTTAGTTGCTCCATGGCATGTGGGATCTTTCCTGACCAGAGATAGAACCTGTGTCCCCTGCATTTGCAGCCAAATTCTTAACCACTGGACCGCCAGGGAAGTCCACAGCATTATTTCTTAATGAGGCTGTTTGCTCAATTGGGTTATTAAATTCTGTCTCTCAGCAGAAAAAATCCAATCAGATAGTAATGAGGTGCCTTTATTTTGTACTACTTTTTGGTGAATTTGTTGTATCTATCAGTATTCTCTTTAGGGGGTGAGGTTACTCTTATTTCTGTTGTAATTAGAATGGTATCAGGGTCAAAAGGAGAGCTGAGCAACAGGCAACAATGGTTCCCAAAGAAAATCATAAGTTTTAGGACATTTTGGGATGACAGGTGTTAGTGCTGGGCTTCTGGTAGAGAGCCCTAGGTTTGCAGGCTGCAGCACTGCACTGCCCTCGGCCATGCCTGGGCTGACATTCTTGTTTCTCTGTGTGAGCCTCCATATTTCTATCTCAGTGAAGTCTATACAAAGTCTGTTTTACAATGTACAATATGAGGGGCTCTTCCATGAACTCTTAGAGTCTCTATGGGTGAATGATAGGGCTTGCTGGAAATGTAACCGTGAACCTTTGTGTTCTTGGGAATAGATCCTCATACTCTGATATGATCATCCTACTCATAATTCTTTAGCTTAACAGTGATCTCTTCTCTGTAGTAGATGAAGCCTTCTATTACCTTGTGGAAGGTGAAGCAGTTGGTGTAGCCTGTGAATGTGTGGGTTCATGTGTGTAGAACAAGACAAGAGTGTCAGGGTTTAATGTTACATCCATTTGAGGAATGGAGACAACTTTCTCTATATATCCTCATCAAGCACTAGTTTGTTGAGCAGAAAATGTTTGTTAGTTTTGTCTGTGTTTGTTTGGGATTCTCCTTCCCTTCCACTTGCATATCCTTTCCGCAACTTCAGACAGACAGAAGAGCGCTATCAAGGAAAGTCTGTCAGTTGTTTATCCTGTCTGTGTTAATAAGAAAGGATTGCTTAAAAGGAAAATCTTGCTACAAAGTCAGGTTCCTGAAAGATTTCCAAAGTTTTGACATTTTGTCTTTTGAGAAGTCTGTGGAGGAAATGATGTTGAGGGTCATGGTGTTTACTTTTGATGACTTGGATTTGTGTTGAGTATTTGGTTTTCTTTGATGGGAGAGAAGGGAACCTTTAAGGGGTGACAAGAGGGAAGAAGCAGGTTGTGGGGTGGAGTAGCCATTTGGCAGGGTGAGCAAGTGTTGCAGTTTTCTACCTTTAGTTTTGGGAAAGAAAATTGCTTTTCCTAAGTCTTACTCAGGGGAGAAGCCTCAGTGGACCCCACCTTACTGGTTTAGGATTTTAACTTTTGCCTTAGGGAAAAGATGATTGGTAACATTTCCTCCAAACCAGCACCTTCAATAAGTGACTGATGGCAAACCATGGATGAAAATTATTTTTTAGCTTGATTCCAAGGAACATCCCAGCTTCTAGAGGATAGAGACATATTGACATAGTGTCCCTTGGGGCTGAGACCCTGAGAACCTCCCCACCTGGTTTCCTTGTGATGGTCCAACAGAGTCTGGGCTCTGTTTTCCTGTTGTACTGATGTGTAAAGTTTGGGGTGGGTATAAGTGAATGCGTTTGTCCCAGTGTCTTAGTTCATAAAGACTTTTAAGAAGGTGGTAAGAGTGTGTCTCCCATACATGAACCATTTTGACTTTCTGTTAGGCTGAGATGTTGAAAGAACAGGGGGACAGGGATGGGCTGCCAGCAGAGCTTGTTCATATGGAAGCAAATTTCTTTTTTCTTTTTTTTTTTTTTTTTTTGAGAGGGACGGAGTCAGCTCTCGACTGAAACCGACAACTTTATTGAGGGGTAACATACATATATAGGCTAATAGGACTCACTAAATTTAGATCAAGGACATGTATACGTGCAGAATCGCAGGCATTAGTCTTCGCTCAGGAATTTTATCTCAACTCTTTAAGACTATCAGAGCAAGGGACTGGCGTCTTAATATTACAATCAGTTAAAGATTATCATGATTACAATCAGTTAAAGATTATCTAAAGATTACCTAGACGTAAACCATACACAGGAGCCTGACAATCTCGTCATGAAAATGGGTAAAAGGTCCCTACAGCAATTTCCTTGAGGGAGGTGAGAAAGGACAACCTGCACTTTAAGCAAATTTCTTTCCCTTCTTCTGGTGCTAGTGATAAAGAACCCACCTGCCAATGCAGGAGTCATAAAGAGACACGGGTTTGATCCCTGGGTGAGGAAGATTCCCTGAAGAAGGAAATGGCAACCCACTCCAGTATTCTTGCCTGGGAAATCCCATGGACAGAGGAGCCTGGTGGACTACAGTTCACAGGCTCACAAAGAGTTGGACATGACTAAAGTAATCTAGCACCAGCACCCTAAGAATCACTTGGTATTTTGCCAAATGCATTCTAAAGCACTGGTAGTAGTATTTATTGAGCTTCTAGAGTGTAGCGAGCACAAAGTACTAAGGTTCATTATCTTTGAATGTAAAATTTTGGCTTAAGGTTAAAAGTATTGTCTGCTTGTCTAATAGTAGATGGATATTTTCTTTTCAGGTGAATCATGAATGTAGTGTTTTGCAAAAAATGCCCTTTTAATACGCTAATGGTAAAAGTAAAGCTTGTATTAAGAAAACTGGTAGAGCTTGCATTTCTAACTAAGCCTTTTTTCCTTTTAGGAAGGCACCAGAGTAGTTCAGCCCATATTTTTGGGGAAAATGATTAATTATGTTGAAAACTCCAATCGCACAGATTCTGCCACCTTGCATGAAGCCTATGGCTACGCGGCAGGGCTGAGCACCAGTGTGCTCGTGTGGGCTGTTCTGCACCACTTGTACTTCTATCACATTCAGCGTGTGGGGATGAGGCTGAGAGTAGCCGTGTGCCATATGATCTACCGCAAGGTAAGTGTCACTCGGTTCAACAGTGTGTACCTCCCCTGAAGCATCAGGAACATTTAGGGAAAGTTCTCTGTAAACTAAATGTTTTGTAACTGGGATCGTTTATACTTTACTGGAGAAGCTTGCTATTTGCACCAAGTCAAGTTTCTTTTTGTTGCCGTTTAAGCAAACTTTTCCAATATATAATAAAAAATTATCTACTGAGATTGGATCAGGACTACCTTTTATGACTTTTAGCCAGATAATATCCACTAAATCTGTAATGAAATCTAATTAAAAAATTAAAGTATCAAAGGTATGCCATTGATTTTCAGTGTTTTCATGCCTATTTCTCATAGTGGTATTTCTGGAAATTTTGTTGTTGTTGTTCAGTAAAGTCTTCAAAGCTGTATTTAAAAGTGAGCTTCAGGATTGGATCCATAAAATTAAATCTTGGAGAACAGAATGGATTTAAGAAAGGGAATGATTATATTTTTCAATGGCCCATTTAATCACATTCAGTACTGTTGTGTTAAGTAAAGAAAAATATAAATATAATTCAGGCTAAATACAGACTCACTATATGCTATAGTTACAATTGTTTTATTGGTATTAAAGAAAATAATTGGATATTTTGGATAAAACTTGAAAATTTTCATTGTCTTTAGTAATTTGGGAGAGAATTTGTTGCTGTTCTTTCAAGTTATTTTCATAATACTATGTTTCCTTTTTGTCTTTCGTATGCATTATACAAGTTTTAATAGGACCTGATTTGATGTGTTGAGTGATTTTTATATTGAGAAATGCCACACAACTATTTCATAACTTACCCTGATCTTAGCTAGTGTAAAAGGAATTAGGATTTCAAGTGTCTTTAGAAAGAAATTGCCACAGATACACCATGTCAACTGTTGAAGGGCTATGTGTAAACTTGTTTCTCAGTATCTTGTTGCCCTGGGTTATTTGCTTTAAAAAATCCTTATTTAATTGTATTATATACTTGAATTTTTCTACAAGAGTAGATCTGAAGTGTTCTCAAGTGAAAGTGTGAAAGTGAAAGTTGCTCAGTCGTGTCTGACTCTTTGCGACCCCATGGACTATGTAGTCCATGGAATTCTCCAGCCCAGAATACTGGAGTGGGTAGCCTTTCCTTCTCCAGGGGATCTTCCCAACCCAGGGATCGAACCCAGCTTTGATATCTGCAATATCCCACATTGCAGGCATATTCTTTATCAGCTGAGCCATAAGGGAAGCCCTAAGTGTTCTCAGAAGACACACAAAATGGTAACTATATAAAGTGTGAATATGTTAATTGGTTTTACTACAGAAATCATTTCCCAATGTATATTTTTAACAAACATCCTGTTATCCAACTTAATACATGTAATTTTTATTAAAAGATAAAATCCTAATCAAAAGCTAAAACCAAACAATTTAAATTGAAATTATCGCTTTTTTTTTTTTAACCTAGTTGCTACTTATGCTGCTTATCTAGAGCTTCTGTTTCTTGGGAATGTTTTTCTTGGCAAAATGTAAAGTGTCTTCTCCTCATCTTTCCTTGAGCAGAGTCTTGTTAATCTCAGCGCTGTAGGAGCCCAGGGCCTGGCATCTCATTGTGTGTGTTTGGCACAAGTGCTGATTTCCTCCTGGGTGACATGGAAATGGCAGTGGTGACTGTGCACTCTAGCCAGGGTTCTTCATTGTCCCCCATCATATATTTGTTATTCTCTGGCACCTTTCACTGTTTAGGAGATGAGTACTCAGATTTCTCCTCAAGTTAGCTAGATGTTTGTCTTTCTAGATCGTGCTTAGCTCCCATAAGTATGTGTGAAATTTCACCAGAACTGCCCTGTGAAAACCTTCAGTTAGGTGTGAGGTCATGGTTCAGTCAAAGCTCACTGTTTGCTGCACAAGTGAGCCATTGTCCACCTGTTTTTCTTCCTCTTCCCACTAATACTTTGGAGTGTCACCTTTGGGAAATTTTAGGCTCTTTTTAGCTGAACTTTGAATGATCTTATGGGATGTGTCATAAATAAAATGATTTGTTATTTCTACAAATTTGGTAAAGTTACTTTTGGCTTTTGGTCATTGATTTTTAAAAATTATTATAAAATATGCACAACATAAAATTTACAGTTTTAACTACTTTGGGGAACATTGTTTAGTGACATTACTGACATGAAGAGCTGACTCATTGGAACAGACCCTGATGCTGGGAAAGATTGAAGGCAAAAGGAGACAGGGGTGGCAGAAGATGATATGTTTAGATACCTTCACTGACTCAATGGACATGAATTTGAGCAAACTTCAGGAGATAATGGAGGACTGAAGAGACTAGTGTGCTGCAGTCCATGGCATTGCAAAGAGTTGGGCATGACTTAGTGACTGAACAACAATTTAGTGACAATTAGGAACATTTACATTGTTGAGGAAACAACACTGCTCTTCATCTCCAGAATTTCATCTTTGCAAAGTGATCCTCTGTATCCCATAAATGCTAATTCTCCAGCCACCCCACCCCTACCCCTATCAGCCATCACCATTCTACTTCAATCTTTGAATTTGACTTGGTGTCCCATGAAAGTGGAATTGTAAACTATTTGTCATTTTGTGTCTTGCTTATGTCATGTAGCACAATGTCTTAAGGGTTCATTGATGGTGGAGCAGGTGTCAAATTTAATTCCATTTTACAACTGAATAATATTCCATTATAAGTATATACAGCATTCTCTGTATCCATTCATCTGTTAGTGAACATTTGGGTTGTTTCTACCTTTTGGCTATTGTGATCATTGCTGCTCTGAACACAAATGTATAAATATCTGTTCAAGTTCATACATTCAGTTCTTTTGAGTACATTCCCAGAAGTGGATTTGCTGTATTATATGCTAATTTTGTGTTTAGTTTTTTGAGGAACTGCCATACTCTCTGACAGCCACATTGTTTTACATTCCCACTTTATCATTGATTTTTCTGTTTAACCTGAGGACTAAATGAAACAGTTTTATGAACCATGAGACTGTTTGGATCCAATTGGTGGTCTTTGAAGCAGCTCATGGTGTCTGTTCAGGTTCCTCAGGTCTCTAGGGCATTTTTGTTAACAAATAAAGGAATTGTTCAGCAGAGGCTGTGTTTTTTGTAAAGTCAGAAGACCGGCATTAAGAATAGAGGTTCCTCACAGGAACAGTGTTTTGAACATTATACTCACTCATTTCAGAATGAATAAACTAAGTCCAAAGTGTTTAAATGAGGTCACGTACAGAATTAATAATCGATTTCAGATTTATAGTCTGTCCAAGTCCTCTAATTTCTTACTTTAAGGCAGCCTTTCCACTCTCATCTAGTTTGGCTCAAATTTATTTTGGTTTGTTCTTAAGTCTAAATCAACATCCCTTTATCCTTCAGGCAGGTTCAAATTCATTGAGTAACAGGATGGGGGATTTTGCTTCTACCTCCTGCTCCTCCCTTTGCTGTTCTTGTGGGTGGGCCTGCCGCCACATTGAGGAGATGAAGGATGAATGTAGGTCCCTGGAGTCCTGCTGTTGGGGGTCACCCTCTTTGTCCTAGCACTGCTCAAGACCCCATGAAAACACGTTTCATTTTTCTCTGTTGTAAGGTTGACTTGGTATCACCTTAGCAATCCAATTCTCTGTATCTTTCTCTCACTAGGTACTTCGTCTGAATAGCTTGGCCATGGGGAAGACCACCACAGGCCAGATAGTCAACCTGCTGTCCAATGATGTGAACAGGTTTGATCAGGTGAGCTGCCCCTGAGGGATCCTCTTCCAGTTCCCATCCTTCTTACTGAGTGTAGCTTATTGGGATGCCAGGTGCAAGGGTTTGGTGTCAGTCAGGGTTCTGTCAAGGACCTAAGACAATGGTCCTTTTTATTCAACTCTCATTTCTTCTTTGTGCAACTTAGATGTAACAATGTGTGTTGTCCTGTGGATGAGAATTTTGTTTTTCTAATAATAGACAGGCAGCAGTGTTCTTTCCCAGCTTGGTTAGTGTCCCTAGGGGTCCTCCTGGTTTGGCCCTTCTTGGCACATGGTGTTGGTGTTTCTGGGCTGTCTTTCTCCTCCTCTGGATGATGAAGGCCTGGTGGGCAGGGGTTGTCCTTTCCCCTGTGCCCTATTCAGTGCCTGTTGTGTAAGGAGCCTGCGAGGAATATGCCAGGTTGGTGATCCTCAGCCAAACACAACCTCCTCTCCACCATCCCAATTGCACTTCCCCCCCTCCTTACTTTATGAATAGATCACATTACCCAGGGCATTGTAGCTGTTGGTCAGGTCTGTATTGTACTAGACTGCTTCTCCTTCAATTATTCATCCATCAAACATGAAGTAAGACTTCTAGCCAGTTTCAGGGATAAATTAGGCTTAGTTTTTGCCCTGAAAAATCCACAGCCTATCAGGAAGGTAAATACTTAAGTAATTACTGGAGAGAGTAGTAGGTACCGTAATATAGGCTCTCCTGGGGAGATGGTGGCTGAATTTTGGGACAAAGAGAGTTGGGGAAGCCCTGAGCTCATCTGTGTTGTGGATAAAATTCATATCTTCCTCCCAGTGCTGCTGGTTGGGTTCTTCCTGGCTGGCCCTGAGCTGCCCCAGAGCAGTGTCAGCTGGGGTGGATGTGTGGATTTCTGCTTTGGCAGGTTTAAAACCCACTGTGATCATTTCTGTTTTGGTTCCTGTGTCTTCTTTACAAGTACATTGCTTCTGTACTGTGTCCTTACTGTTTTTTTTTTTTTTTTTTGTAATAACATCCTAAGAATGCTTATCTTTTTCTTTAAGGTGACGATGTTCTTGCACTATCTGTGGGTGGGGCCACTGCAGGCAATCGCAGTGACTGCTCTCCTCTGGATGGAAACAGGAATATAGTGTCTTGCTGGGATGGCGGTTCTCATTTTCCTTCTGCTGTTTCAAAGCTGCTTTGGGATGTGGTTTTCATCACTCCGGTAAGAGAAACACTGGTTTAAAAAATAGGTAACATATATTTGGTAACAACTACAATCTGTTGGATGCTTTTGTTTAAAAAATAAAATGCCTTCTCTGGTGTCTTCT